TGCGTTTTCGTGGTAAAAAAAAAAAAAAAAATAAAAGCCCACGGCGGGTATAATAATATTATAATATTATATTTTGTCCCGCCGCCGCCGCCGCGTGGCCCCGTGACGGAATATTCAAAAAGGAGTCGAACAGCTGTTATTTGTTCCCACCCGTCGTCGAATATTTTATTCAAGAGAAAAATGAAAAAAAAAAAAAACGAGAAACCCCCTCCTCCCCCCCCTCGACTATCTTATATTATTATTATATAACATACCGAGTCTTTAACCCCCCCCCCGCCCTTACCTCCCGAGGGGGGGGTTGTTCATTTTCGGCACCGCGACTTCGACACTCTTACGCAAATTGATAAATTTCGCTTATCGTATCCGATACGCTCAGCGCACGCGGGACTCGATAATGATTGTTATTGTTTTACGACGCGACACGGATTTCGGTCGTGGTGGGTTGGGGGGGGGCTGGTGGGTGGCGGATGGGAAACGCGACACGTCCGGCGTCCGACTCGTTTCGTTCGCGCCGCGGCCGAGGAGTTACTGTCAGACAATAAAAAAAATGCGCCGCGCAGACCCGAGAGATTTATCACGGGGCACCGGACGAACGACGATAGGAAATCGAACGAGCGTGCGAGAGACGCTACGACCGCGGTGATGTTATTATTTTAAAACCTAATTTATGGTACTCGCGACCGGTGGTGGCGAGACCCCCGGGGCGAATGCAATCACAAAGCGTTTCGATTGCCGACGAAGGCCGTTCGCCACCGACTCGTAACGCGTGCGTAGCGGAGGCGGGATGTAGAAAAAAAAAAAAAAAAAAAAAAAAAAACACAGTCCTCGGGCTGTATTGCGTGGCGGCGGCGGGGCAAACCGCTAAATTATTAACATAATATATACTCATGTATGCCTATACAGCGGCGTGTGTAACGCGTATAATAATATACGCGCGTGTGCGTAGTATCGCCCAAGACACGATATCCGTACGTGTATATCATTATACTAATATTAGTATAATATTGACCGTAAGAATATTGTATCGTGTGTGTCACGAAACGTACGAATGTCGCGACTTCCGGCAAATGATTTTTTTTTCTTTTTCTTTTTTAAAGAAATTATTTAACGGCCGGTTAAAATATCCGTTTGTTTTAAAAATATTTCACAATCGCGTTTTCAAACGATATTTCCCCGACGAAATTACCCCTAACGCAAACCAAGTCCTGGACCCCCAGCCAAATACAAATCAGATTACCAAAGTATTGGTTGGTATCTGTATGTACGTTGTGGCCAAAGTACGTTTTACGCCCCGTTCGGAAACCGGTCGGGTGTTAAGCAATGAACATAAAACAGCAGTGTTGCTCATGCAAGTAGGATTAATATGACGTTATAGACTTGAGAAACGGCAGACTTGACCACCGTGTATAAATACCACTACTTCGATGAGCTGACTATCTCGAGATGGGGTTCTGGAACTTGGACCGTTTTTCACGGTTAGGTTTTTGTCGGAAATATAATTCCTTTTTGTTGGCTTCGGTACAGGGACGTTGAAACCGAAATCACCGAATTAAATTAACTCGCATTGTTCGAGTAAATTTGACTCAAACAATTTATTTTCTATCTCAATAACATTATTCCGAGATACAGCTATCTAACGTGTATATTTAACGACAGGATTTTTTTTTTTTTTTTTTAGACTTTTCAGAAAAATTAACAAGCACGACTTTAAATTCTAATACATTTTTCAAATGTTTTTCAAATATAATTTGCGTTTGCTGGCAAACGTGTAAACCCCGAAATTAATCTCGGCACCGGGATCGGCATTTTAGCGTGTATTTCAGCGGTACGAAAAGGAGAGATGAATAAAAAAAAAAATAAAAAAATAACCGTTAATAAAATAGAGGGGAAAAAAATATCCCCCCCGGTAAAATGGTATCTATCTATCTATATATATATATATATATATTGAATATAATAAAATATATTATTATGTTGAAGTGTACCGGCGCGCGCGCACGCGGTCGTGTAAATAATTGTTCGCGTGCGCGGAACGAATATTTAAAAAAACAAACAAACATTACGGTTTGGTTTAAAGAACGGGCGAAACTCCGTCGGATTTCGAGAAAAGGAAGAAATAATATTTGATATCAATTATAAACGTACAAATAATTCAACGAGTTTACCGAAAAAAAAAAAAAAAAAAAACGACGAGTGTACGCGATATTTCTAATGGTATTGTTGATAGTGTGGTGTATTACGGTGCACGGCTTGTAGAAAAATGAAAAAAAAAATAAAAAAATACCTCGTACGATACTAATAGTCAATAATAGCGGTTATCCGTAGCCGCGTGTAAGTAAAATTAAATATTGAAATGTTACGTCCGCGGGAGAAAAAAACGCGTGTTGTGTGCGTGTGTCGACCGGCGCGCATGAATAATTAATTAACCGTGAAACCGACCGGTAATAAGTAAATCGACAACGAATTACGGGGCCGACGTTGTCGTGTAAATAAATGTCCGGTTCCGTACGTACGCGCGGGTACGTAATATTAATAAGTAGCGGGAGTTTTCGTTTTTCTGTTTCTTATCGAACGCTTTAGTGAAAACCACACCGTGCGTACACACGCGAGGCCCGTACGCAATATGGGATTGAGTCGACATAATAATACGTGTCGTTAACGTAATAGACGTCCGCGGTACGGTCTTCGGTTCGGCCGGCGCCCGCAACCCTTTCGTTGCGAGCCGTTACCGCGGTCGCCATGGCTACGCGGAACGCAAACTCAACGGCCCGGCGAGTCTACTATTGTTGTCCGCCCCTCCCCTCCCCTCACCTCCCCTCCACACGCCGCGGCCACCGCCACCACACTCCCTACCGACTCGCGGGCCACTGCGCCGTCTATTGACACAGGCGTGGTCATCTTGTGCGTACACGATTTAACAATGTCCTACACGTACACGGGCAATATTGAAATAACAGCGTACCCGTCTGTCCACGTCGGTTCTAGCCGGCCACGTTCGACGGCCGACACGGCGCGGAGCGATTGCTATTGCCGACGACGGTCGGCGAGAAGAACGGGACGGGGACGCGGCGCCACACGTGCGGATTCGCGACGCGCGGACCGGTATTCGATTACGGGTCGAACCTACCGTCGGCGTGCAGAAGGCGGAACGGGAAAACGAGCGAAATGACGGGGCCGCAATGGGTCACGCAATTGGGAACAAAGGCTCTCGGGGGGGGCCCGAGACGCGACATTCGACCGGATTGAAGGCGAGGCCGTAGAGTCGGAGCGGCCGATATCGCGAACGACGAAAGCCGAAGTCACTGGCGCGGTTATGAGAGCGAAAGGAGGGCGACAGTCGCCACCGCGGCGTGCCGGCGTGTTGCGATAAAATACGTTTGAATTTGAAGCGGGGGGGGGGGGTTTCGCAACAGTTTTGAAACGCTGAGATTCGCGTTGCGGGAAGGGACGGGAAATAAATTCTAGGGATGAGCGTACCGCGAATACAATAGTTAGGGCGCGAAATCTCAATTCGGCCGCTGGCCGAAGGGAAAAAGTCCCGGAGATAGGCCGAGAAACCGCGCGGCGGACGGACGGGACGCGGCGGGGTCCGGAGGGTTCTGAAAGTGACGGAACGGGGGCGAAGGGGCGATCGCGACCGCAGTCGGGCTGCAGTAACGCGGGCCGATGGCTCGAACTCTTGTACAGGGTCCGTAGGGCCGTATGTCATGACGACAGCGACGCACAGGAACGTTCGACACTCGTCAAAACCGTTTGTCGGGCGAACGTGGCGCCGCGCAGAAACGTTAATGCCGATACGCGACAGTGACGAGGCACATCCTCGGGCGCGTACCGTCGGTCGAGTGACTCGCGAACGGCAACGCACAGAAATGTACAGGTGCACACGGCACGCGTGCGTTTCGCGGCAACGGAATCGCGGCGCAACGCTAAGCTGCCGATCTCGCGTTAGGTGTCCGTCCGACGCCGACGTTTCGACGTCCGTTTCCCGGGTTTCCGGGAAGCGCCGGTCCGATTGGCCGCGAAACCGTTTGTTCGCTGGACCGCGGGCCAGCGCAACCGGGCCGCTGCGCGCCGCATCGCCGAAACGTGGTCGCGATTACGCACGAAATCGGTTGGCGACGAAAGCGCGGCGGTCTCGCACAGCAATCACGCGCCAAACGAATCGTCGTGAGCGCGGTTGCCGCCGCCGCCGCCGCGATGTTCGCGGATTACGTGCGCGGTTCGATAAACGCGCACGTCTCTGTCACTGGGATTAAAACGCATTTCATGTCGCGACCCCGGCGCGCGCGGTATACGCGTTACTATTGTTATCATTATCGCCGTCGTTAGAACGGGCACGCGAACGGGGTTAGAAAATCGGTCCGCCGATAACGCCGGCGTAACAACGTCCTACACCTTATGCATGTTATCGGTATCGTGCGTGAAAAATAATAATAGAAGAGAAAAAAAAAACGACAACGACAAATAATAACAAATAACGACCCGGATTCCGGCGACCGGCGTCGGGTTTTTGATCCGACGGCAGACGCGTAAAAAAAAAAAAAAATCGTGCGACACCGTCCGTTCAGAACGGCGTGTCGTCCGTCCGTCGGTATGGCGTACGCCTTGACCCGGTGCGGTTTGGCGCGTAAAGGCGGTTCGATGATGGTCGCCAAATCTGCACCGCGGTGTGCCGGACACGTGACTGTTATTACTTACTGCATCGGTACACGCGTCGAGCCTGTACAATAATAACGTCTACGGCGTGCAAGCCGTTTAGAAAAAAAAAAAAACTTATACCCATTTTATTAAAAAAAAAAATAATAATAATAATAAAAAACAACCGCACCGTCCAGTGATGTTATTACAATTTCATACCAAACCTTTACACAATAATAACTATGGAACGCGCGTCAAAGACGACGTGATCGGGCGGGTTTTTTTTTTTCTCTGTTTTGATTTCCATAACAGATCCTCGGAACGCCCGGTTACCTGTAGGCGCGCGCGTTCCGCCAGCCGTTTTAACGGTATTGTTCCTTTATCTGTTCCACGTCCCGCAGGAAACTCGTCGCCCAGTCGACTAATCTCGATTTTTCCGCGGCGTCGTACTTCTGGACTCGGTCGCGAAAATCCCGACAGAGCGCCGAAAAGTCCTGAAAATACAACGAGCAATCACGTTCGGGTGCCGGGACCAAAGTGACAAACGCAGTTTTGCGCGTAGTGTTATCGCTCGCACGATCGGGTACCCGTGCACTACACAATACGCGATACGATAAATCGCGGATTGTCGGTGGTTGTACAGCGCAAATGACACTATTTACGGGTTAACGGCCTTGGCGAGCGATAAACCGCAATAACGTTTTAATCGAAATCGAAATACGTAAATCGCGCGCGACGTGTGATAAAAAAAAAAAAAAAAAACAAAAACAAAACGTAAAACCGAAATATTTATGTATAATAGCGATTTTCATAGGAAAATACCGGCCGCGAAAACTACGTTTTCAGAACATCGTCGTCGTTAATCCGCATTAGCGAAACCTATTTTTTCAATCATACATAAACCGAATAAAACATCCCGATTGTGCCGGTCGCCAGATTAACACTACGTGTACTAGTAGGTATGAATGCGAAACATTTTTCGAACGGACGGATGTTTGTTACCAACTCTTGCCCCGCAAACACGGGACGGATTGAGCCGGAACTTTGCACGGATATCGTTCTAGACCGGGAATAAAATATCTAAGCTACACACACACACACCCGCCCACTCACCGTATTCAAGCACTGAGGTGGGCCGAGGTAGGGCGGCAATCATTAGTATTTTTAGCCGCCCGAAAATCCAACTGTTCTTACTAACCCGTCGGTTGCCGTGGCGATACGGACCAATAGTTAAATATAACCGATTAACAGACAATAAGGTAATTCGTGGAAGGGCACAACAAACAGCGGTGACCATCGAAACTTTAACTGTACACCGTTCGTCGTTGGATTGTTATTGTAATTAGATCGAAACTTCATTTGAACACGCGGCACCAAAGCGACGACACAACGGAGTATCGAGACCAGTGGATCGCGGACGGTTCAAATGTCGATTTTGACGTTTTTTCTTACACGATTCGTATAGATAAATCGAAATCGCTTATCATTTTCGTCTCGATACGTTATTACCGTGCAGTCGGTTTATCGGGTAAATACGATTCCGCAGCGTTTATGTCGGCAATCGTATTTTACAATGTTCAGTCGGTACCGGTGTTGCGTGACGGAGAACACTGTTTTTAACTGTGCGTCTCAGCCGTGTCATCTTTCGTTCGCGTACGTTAGTCGTTAACACGTCGGTCCGGGACGGAGTCGGGAAGTCGGTCCCCGGAGGGAAAACGCGTTCCGAGTAGATGCCGACCGAAACGAGCGCGGCTGCCCCCCCCCACCCCCCGCCCACCGACGATAATATGCGAACGGCGCGCGGTTATCGCCGCGAACATCGCGCGTCCGGAGCGGCGCCGCCGACGGGTACCGCGGATCCGGCCGCTGCGCCGTGTGTCGTACGCCGGCGTCACAACACGGCTAGAATGTCGCGATCGCGCCGCGTTACCGTATTAATGTATACGCGCGCGGTTGATGAAAACCCGCCCGTGGGAATATTACCGGTGCAACGTGTCAACAATAATACGCGCACGGGGAAAAGAATCGCGCGCGTCTTCCGATCCGGCCGATTAGTAAAGACTACACCGGGAGTTTGGCGCCGTTACGCGCGCGCGCGGGACAGACGCGTCACGGATATCGTCGGTCACACGCGGTCCGCGTTGTCGTCGTCGTCGTCGTCGTCGTCGTCGTGTGGCCGACGGCGCGGACTGTTCGTCGGACAACGGTAACGGTAACATCGCTGTTATTATTACCGTTTTCGGTTTCATTATCAACCCCCGCGTGCGAACGCCACCCCACCATACCCCCCCCCACCCACCCCGCCACCCTCGCGTACGGCGATTCGGGGCGTTCCCGGGCGTGAATATAATGACACGATAACGCGCGATAACGACAACGGCAACAACAATCGCGCGACAACACCGTGGGCGGCGACGGTTCGGACGGCGGACGACGGGCCGCGGGGTGGAGGCGCGGTGAAACGGACTGGAATACAACGTCGCGCGGTTTTATGACGTTTGAAGTCGAACCTCGTAACGGACTGAAACGCCGACGTTGGTACTGAAAAACGGAATCGACGGTATGAGCGCTTTGAACCGTCCAACGTTGGCCGGTGCTCCCAAATACCCGTCACTGGTTTCGATTATCGTTAAAAGAATCGAACGTATCGATAAAACCGCCTGTACCGCCCGCATGTACTCCCTCGGTACTATAGACGTCGGTTGGCGGTCGGAACAAGAAGAAAAATAAATCGCGTTTTTCGTTTGCGACGTTTTTTTTTTTTTTTATCATCGTTATCATTAATGTTTTTTAAACAAATAGTTTTTGTTAATGAATAAAACATTGCCGAGGGGGAGACCCGGAAGAATCCCTTCGCCAAAAATAAATAAATTTATATGGTATAGTTTTTTTTTTTCCTGTCGCCGGTTGTCTGATATTTGTTAATAAGTTTGTCCTACATTAGATTTTTTACTTCGGCGCCACTAATAGCGGAATCAGTTGCCGTTTGTATTCGACTTACGCGAACGTTCTCGGTCCAGAGCCGCGTGTTATCTGGCCAGAAGACGGCACTGACTTCCGTTTGTAAAAACTGCTTTGCGGTGTTCACGGCCAGTTCGATTTGTTCTTTTTCCGTTAGTTTCGTAGCCAGAGATTCTGAAATTGCTTTAAATTCGTAGTCTATAAAAAAAAAAAAAAAAAACACGTGAATCCACGATTTTTCTAAATTCACGTTGAATAATTGATAAATCAGGACCAATTATGGACATTTAGCGAAGAGAGATCAAGTCCAAGACTAAGGCAGTCTTGATCTTCGTCTTGTTTTTGCAGATCCAATCATGGTCCTGATTTTGGTATTACTGCAGGACTCTTGCAGACTTGCTTTATTTTACAAAATGCCTACGAAAATTAAATAAATACCTACCGATTATTAACACAAGAAATGTATGGGATTTTCTTACGATCTTTAAGATATAACTATAGTACTTGTTTTTAAAAAAAATTAACGGTTAAATAACATTGACTGATGTATGAGACACACTACAACATAATAAATACTGATGCTGCGGCAGTATAATATACTCGTGCAATACAATATCGTCAGATGACAATAACACGCACGGACGATAACCATGCATATACGGTACCTACCATAACATCCTATTTAATATTCAAAATAGAGAGACATTTTGCGGACACGAATGAAATATATTGCGGTTTGAACGTAAATCGTATCCGTGACTGATAATACTCACCTGTAATTCCCACAACCACGTCTGGGTCGATTTCGAGAAAATAAACGAACGGTACAACCGTATGAACTAATATTATTCCGCTAACGTAATTGATAACAAATCTACTACCTACGTATTTATAATATTATTTTTAATTTTGTTTTTTTATAATTCGTTATACTCTTAAATGCCGTTCAAGTGTAATAGTACTCAATTTGTATATTAGAGGGTTTTTATTTAGAGGGAAAACAAATTATCAAGACTGCAATAGTCTTGTAGTATTGGTCTTGTAGACTCAATCTTGGTATTGGTCTTTTTAGTGTCAACACTTTTTTTTTTTTTTTTTAACGATTTTGCAACATCACTCATTAGAATGGTTTAAAATAATAATGATTATAATCCCTGTCTAGTGCAACTCACGGGTATTGATCGCGGTGGGTGTGATGGAGATGGAGTCGAGTTTGGTTTTGAGGTTCGCGCGACAGTTTATGAAAAACGTAGCCATTTGCAGTACGTCCGTCGGGCATGCTTGTTCGTAGGTTTCCATCATTTGTTCTATAACCGTCTATAATAATAATAATAATAAAACAAAACTAGGTAAAATTGATGTGAACGTTTCTTATTTCTCGTTTACTTCTATACGAGCGCAGACATCTGATAACGTGTTTGAACATTCGGATTCCACGCTACGGAATTCAGCGAGTAGGTCGTACAATCTTCGGCTGTTATTTGGGTGTCCGTGCGACGGTTTCAATTTGAAGTAAAACCGTTCACGAATGGTTTTCGACGTTTCTTTGACCATCAGACTCTCCTGCTCGAACTCGTTGAACGCCTCGTTTAGTTTCATCACCGAATCGTTGTGATACGCCATCAGAACGGAATTTTTGAACAGCAATTCGATCGTGCGGAATTCGTTTAAAAAATCAAAATATTCTAAAACAAAATACCCAGTCGATTAGAACCATTTGGTGATGGGGGGGGGGGGTAATAGTGTTTACTAGCGTTTTGGACCATACGCACAAACCTAACAGTTTAAAAATCCAAATCAACTCCGTTTGTAAAACCGTTGTTCTACACTTTCTCATCACTCCTTCCATGATTTCGTGGTAAATCTGGGCTGGGTTCAGCGTCTGGTTCGTCCAAGAATTTGTTGAATCGATCACCGCTAAATCCTGTGCGCACAAAGTACATAAATACGACATAAATAAGACATTGTATTATTTATACCGCAGCGTTTTGTTGAGACTCCATTGTGTATTGAAATATCACTAAATAAATGTTATTCAAAAATCTCGAACCATCGATAGGTTTGGGACTAGTAACAAGAGTTTTGCAGTAATCGTAAAATTTGAATTTTCCATTAACAAACGTATTCGCCGAATTTAAGGTGACTGTTTCCAAGACGAACGAACTCTTGGATTTCGTATTCCATATAGAACTTTGAATGTGGGGCTTGAGCAGAGCCTCTAAACAAAATATAATCGTGAAATAATAATATTAGTATATGACGTCAGATTAATCGACATTCTTTTACTTATATCGAGATGCGTCTCTAACAGAAAATCGACAAAGTTTTTCATCTTTGATAATATTTCTGGCCAACATTTTGACAAGTTTACGAAGTCTTCTTTTTCATACGTTATTTTAACAACTTGTAGTTGCGTACGTAGATCATCTAACATTTTATCTAAATTCAGAATTTCCTGGTTTACGGTAACGTTTATAAGTTTATGAATCACAGAAAGTTTTTGTTTTAACACTTTTTTATCAAGTTCAATATTTATTCTGTAATTGCATACGATTGAAATAATTGATATTAATTAGCATAATTGAAACAGTCAAAAATATAAACTAATAAAATTAGATTAAAAACACACGATTTTAAATCTTTGGAAAGCGATTCCTTGATTTTATTTATTGATTCATATCTATTGTGGCTTAGAAACTCTACGAGGTCAGATTGTTCTTCAAACATTGTAGAGCTTAACACGTTTAAAGTATCTATGAAACTTGTTGCTTCATCTTGACCATAATTCCCACCTTCTGAAAATGTTCTAAAAAAAATAATATACATATTTTTCAAATAAGTGTGATTATAAATTTATTTTCGTGTTTTTATAGTATTCACTTAATAGCCGTTATGAATTCCGCAGTCGAATCCTTAATCGCTTGGTACTTCGATTCGACATTTTCGTAGAGTGATTCAAATCTATGTTTAAATTCATTCGCAACAGAATCGATTTGTATCCCTTGATATTTTATAAATCGGGTCAATTCGATTATTGACAATTCATTAATGTCGCATTGTTGGACACTCTTACGGATCACGTCTTTCATCAAAAAAAATTCATCGTACAATTTATACGTTTCTTCTTTTAAATTATCACTGATATTTTGAGAATCCTAAATAATATTATAATATTTTAGAGTGATTGATTGTATATGATGAAATTCACCGAGTTCTTCTTGATTTACATTTATATGACGCTCGAGAAGATGCCCGTGTTCTTCAATTTCGTTAATTCTGTTATTTGCGATTTCATCGCATCCCTTAATTGTTAGATTTTCAAACAATTCCATTGCTACGTTAAACCGTTCGTCAATACTATTTCTGATATATGTGGTCCAAATAAATTCGTTGTCCAATAAATCCGACGATGTTAAGTCTGCTATTAATCTCGACATTGTTTTGTGAAGACTAATATACATCGAACAAATAACAATTATGATAGTAGTAAGATTCGAAACCATTTAAAAAGAAACGATAAATGTGACACTTACGCATTCTGACAGTTTATCATAACAGTTTTAAAATATGCGATCGTTGATTCGATTGGTTCTGCCCAAGTTTCATTGTGTATAGACTTCTGAAAATCAGGAATCGAATTTAAATTTCCCGGAAATAAATCTAAAACTCGTTTCACTTCCGATTTGACAATAGAAAATTCAGATACAATTAGGTTCATATAGTTTGATACGACTTCTATCTCGCTCTCTTGATTGGATATGATCCTTTGCGATTCGATAAAAAGATTATAAACAAATAATTATACTTATATTTAATTTAAAATTTTATGATTTACTTGGCATTAATATATTTCAGTGCCTTATAACATTTTTTTTCTAACTGTCTAACATCGGTTTCGTTTGACGCCTGGATCATTGATTCTAATTTAACGTCGAAATTTTTTTGAAAAACCTATGAATAAAACGTGCTACGTTTTTAAATTATTTATAATAATATTATGTACGTTATTGTCTACTTCTAAATTCGAATCGTTTATTTTAAATTTCGCCTCTAGGCCTACTAAAACCGTATTTCTCGCGTCCATTAAACGCTTTAAGTGACCGCAGTATATTTCGGTCGCCGAGCTGAGCACCGTATCTATTACTTTAATGGCATCTTTAACGTCACTTAAAAATAACTGGACTTTCAAAACTGTTTTAATTTTTTCCTGTTGTAAGCTGATCGCTTCGGTGAATATTTCATTATTGAACGCGATAAATTCACCGGGGCTAAGATGTTCACCCGAATCCATAATGGTTTTATTAAAGTCCCCTACCGTTTTCATCAAAAGCAACTGAATGTCCTCTAACATTTCATCATGATCTAACGGCATCGCATTGGCCATCATTTCATCTAAAATTCAAAATATTTTATTCATCCGTCGTATTATACTCCGGAAATCTAAGTTCTACCGAGGTTTTTCAAATGCGCTTTTAACAATGCCGAACTTTCTAGAATAATCGTACAGTTTATTTGTTTTCCCAACTCTCGTATTACAATGTTAAATAGTTCGTTTAAATCATTTATCAAATGTAAGGGTTTCGTTTGAATAATTGAAATTTTATCCGATAAAATATTATCAGCAGCATTTCTATAAAAGTATATTTTCGGTATTATATAAGTAAATGATTGAAAGATTATTATTAATATGACCAAATTGATTACTTACATAAATTTATTTTTAAAACTCTCCCCAATGTTTTTTTTTATTTTTAATTTGACATTATGGGCTCTAAGTGCGAAATCCTGTCTCAAACTTCCACTCAACTGAGTTAATTTAAATCGTAGTTCTTCGTATGTTCGGAAATTTCCCAATTTAATTGTATTGTAATTCTAATCGAAGACAACATTGCAAATAGTATAATAAACTAAAAATCACGTACGAAATTTAATGTGTGATTTATACTTTTAGATATTTCTCGTACAGCCGTTCAAACGAATCATTCGAAAGTTTTTTAATGTTTAACATATGTTGTTTGTAACAATTCTCAATTAACGCGGTCCTCTTTTTTTCTAAGTAACGCAGTTCTTCCATGAAATCATCAATGTTTTGATTGCGTTTGTCTAATAATTGGTCCACCATCATAGTACTTTGCCTTAGCAAATCGAAGTCAAAAAAATCGTCCTAACACCAACAGTTTTATAACAGAATATATCAGACGTACTTATACAGAGTAAAATGTTTTTTTTTTTTTTTTATATTCACCGGGTTTCTATCTCTAATATCGGACAATGTTTTGTCTATCACATTCAAAGCCGCGTCTAGTGCTCGCGAAGCTTTTAATATTTGGTTTTCGGTTTTATTGTTGATTGATATAAATTCATTTTCGATTAATTCGATTTGTCGACTTACCCGTTCCTCACACCTTTTTATTGCTCTACTGACGACTTCACTGACATTGTGATTAGGCACTGATAATTAAAATTCAGTTACATTAGTTATTTATTTTTATTATTTGAGATATTAATTTACGATATCATTACCCTACACCACACAACATTAAAAAAAACAAATAATACGTGAAACTATATTATACATAATTGTATCGTTATCGATAATTGTAATAATACAAGAAAATAAATTATAATAGGCTCATCTCATAGAGGAGTGAAATAAATACATTTAGCTCTATGCATGCGAGTAGGCATTTTATTTATTTTTTTTTTTATATAAATTTAAAGGCTTTTTTTACGTTAATTAAAATTTAAAATTTGCACGATTTTAAATATAATTTAAATAAAATCATCAGCATTCAAATATATTGTCGAGAGTTTTAATTGGTTTAGCTATAAGGTGGAGTTGCTACCTATGATTATGTTAAGAATTTTTTTTCTATTTGTTTCTTTATCTCAATGGGTCGAAACCGAGATACAAAACAGCAGTTAATATGACGATCAAAACAGTAGCACAGTAATAAAAATATACATAAAGAAGTGGTGAAAATAATTCTTAGTGGTAGAATAAACAAATTGAATAAATTAGATTAATAATAAGCAGTTTTTTAGAACATTTTAGCGTAAATTAAAATACACATGATGTGTTTAAATATTGTAGTGAATTAAATGCAAATTTTATATTATTAGTATTAATATTTTTGGTTTACATTTTTCCGTTCTATGGCCGTTATACGCTATTTATTTTAAAGTAATAATCGATATTATTTGGTAAATTAATTAATATATATATATGCATAGCATACACTGAATAGGTACAACCATAGGCTCTAGGTTTTTAAAATGTTTTTGGGGGTTGTACGTAGTTGGTTTGATAAGAAGTCAAATAAAAGGCATTTTACAGCTTGGTGTTATTCATTATGCGAATATTGAGATGTTCTAGGAACCGAGGAGCTTCTGCTCGTTCAGAAGCAGTTCACAGATAAAACATCTATCGAGGTTGTTACGTCTTTAGTTTAAGAAGTTTAGACCAATAAAGTGTATAATGGGTTCATAGTCATAGGGGTCGAGAGGTTGGAATACGTAAATTATATCCGGAAAATCTGAAAAGTCTGTTGCTTTTTAACTTTTTAAACATTTTTCCAAAAACATAAAATTAAAAAACTACGATATCTATTTTGAATAGGTTTTGTCAGTAGATGACAATTTAATTTTTACTTAATACAAGTAATGCCTACTATAATCAAAAAACTATTAACATGTGTTAGAGATATATTAATATGCACTAGCTATGAGTATCACTGACCTATTATGAACCACGTAGTGAAGCCTCAGATATCTTTAACCACGTGATTATATATGAACAAGTTATTCGAGATAACAGGCGATAAAAAGTAGTTTTTATCACATATATAATATATTCTTAGTCTATTTTATCAGACGAAAATACTATTTTAATAAACACTTTTAATTTCTGGTAGAATACTTCGGTGTTTAAGCGTTAAGAATAAATATTTTACATAACCGTTAGTATAAAAGTTATTTTTTATCATTAAAATCTTTGGGGGCTGAGTTCTAGCTCATTATTGACTCGCAGACTCTATGAACTCGGTACCTATGAATACAACACTAATCAAATATTGCCTAAAAAATTCTTGCTAAAAAAAGCCCACCTTAATACCACCTAAACGAAAATTATTTTTACCGATTCGTATTGGCAAACTTTGAACCATCCTGATTTCCTCTTCTCGATCCGACAAGGGACGTAAGAGACACGGATCCGCAACATTTCCGGATTTATCACTCTACGAAATTACACACACTTATAATATTATAGAAAACAACATTGGAAAGAATGTGATATCCGCATAATCTGTCTACGTTTTACAATCGTGGATCAGCAAATTTGCGTTCAACACGGACCACTTTATGCTGTTAGTTATAATATTGAGGTGAATTGAGAAAAGAACATTGGAGCTAGTTTTTCGATATTTTAACTTTCATGTGAGTTTTACCTAAGAACTGTCATATTTCACGTAGTATAATAACCCTCTTAAAAATTAAAATATCGAATAAATAGCGCCCACGTTGCATGGGTAATAATGTTCTTGTATTTAAGTTTGGTAATGAGTCGATTCGCTATAATATTAAAACTAACAGCAAAATGTCTTACTTGCTGAACACAAATTTACTACGGCGTACGTTCGTAAGACGGAGACCGTACATGCGGGTATCCTAGCGACAAATAGTGACGACTCACTTGATTCCGGAACGATGTTAAAAACATCGAGTATGACGAGTCACTTGTCGAATTTGACATTTTCACGCGAACAGTATAATATTACCATACAGAACTACACAGAATGAATGGTATAATATTATAACCAAATTCAAGAATATAATTTATTGTTTTGATTGCCATAGCGACGTGCTGTTTTGTTCTGTTATGTTTTTTTTTTTTTATTTTTTGAGAGCGAATTTCTCTTGGCGGTCACGGGCTGGATAATTTATTGCGATGATGCATGGGGCTGCATCGTCTCTCAGACGTTGTTTAAAGGGTTCGCGATAAGTCCCGGGTTTTTATGACGATCGGCAGAGGCGGTGCTGCAATATACACTTACGGTGGCCTATTTATATATGTTGGCCACTTATGAACGTTGAAAACCAGAAACCCGCCCGGTCGGCGTTTATTTATTAGTCCTTTATGACCGGTAATCAAGAGGAAATGCGAGATAAAAGTCGGACACGGCAGATGTAGGGCGCTGGACGGGGAAAAATATCCGGCAGCTTGCTTTTAAAGCGCTGGTCATAAAAACGGACGTTTCGTATAAAACGAGCGCAGTTTTCAAGAATATATGATTTCGTGATAACACCTGGAAAACTGGACATTAATTGGACGTAATAAATAACGGCCGAGAAAACATAAAACACAGCATTTATACGGAACGAACACATTTTAATATTTTAATATTTTATCATACCGTACAGTGCGTGTATATTCATGTGTGCTGTATTTCATTTTCATTGCAACCCTCGCGAAATTTGTGAAATAACTATTTTATTTAGGTATACAAGTAGTATAGTATTATTAATTTTGTGCGTACAGTGTTCTGTATACCTACGTGTATTTATTTATTTTTTTTTTTTTATCATAAAAGTAATATCCATAACAAGGAAATGAATACTCAGATTTACAATATCATCGAACCTTGTAAAATAATAAGATCAAATAACTAATTGAACTAACGAAGGACATGATATTACAACGAGGCGATTGACTCAATCAAGGTCGACGTGAAGTTTTATTTTTAGGGTTGAGCCACGCCTAAAACTCGTATAGTTATACTGGTTTGGTTCAAAAAAAAAAAAGACGTCATGACGTATGGGAACAAAACAAATTATTTTATAATTTTGATACTGCGCCCTAGTTAATCATATAGTGTATGAGAGATAACAACTGGTGGCAATTTATTATCGAATATTAATCACCGATTAATTTTATATGGCAATAACTCTGCGCTAAAAATGAACTGAAAACTGCTTATTATTATCGATGTAACCGAAGTACACTACAAAATAAAATATATTTTTTATAAACATCGGATAATTTCATGTTACATCGAAATCACGTGTACAAAATAGTTATTGTAAACGTACTTAAAAACCGCGTATACTGGCTACTTATATTAAAATATTCATATTTTGTCTTGTGTAATTTTAAGAGATTGTTTAATTTTTCATTTTAAATTATGAGTTGTAATATACAATATTATATATAAAAATAAAAACCAACTATACAGACTACATAATATATTATATTATTATGCATAATAGGGAAAGGAAAAAAAAAAAAACATTGATAAATGACCGTTAATAAAAATCGTATCAAATCCAGAATTACAGAGTTTACATACATAATTGATCGATCTATTTAGCCGTTTTGGGTGTTTCAGAGGGAATTTTAGTAACTATACCAAACTGATTTGACCTAAATCTAAACTTTCGTATAAAATAATCGCATTGAAAAAAAAAAAATTGTATATATATCGTAGTTTTGCGATCTACAAAATAATGTTAACTACTCGGTCGTGGGAGTGGTTGTTTTTTCTTTGAATTAGTTTTAGCGGTTTTAATGCAGTCTACGAATAAGAAATAAAACTTGTCGTGTTTTTTCGTGTTTGTTGTAGTTCGTGTTTTGCATCTGGCGTAGGTATTCGATATACTATTACACTACACAAAAAGAGCTGATAGGTGTGCCGCTTGTATTGTAGGCGGAAAGTTATAGTAAGGTGCATAAAGTAATTTATTATTATTGTTATTATTATTTAGTTTATACATTTGTATAGATACTGAACAATAAATCAGCGATAACGAAATACGATTCTGAGCAAGGTTGGGTTACAGTGGTTAAAGTGTTTTGAAATGTCGTAATTTCGGTATAGTAATATGACGCTTCGTCATTTATTGCTGCAGCGGCGGGTCGCGGAATATCGCACAGTGCGTCGAAGTTGTATCGATCGCAGCGATCCGATACGCCGTGAATGATCAATGCGTTTTTTAAACGCGTACCTTACGTGTCCGGTTTTTTCGCGATGATTTCACGTTTTAAACACTGGCGATGTTATAAAAAATAGTGGATACATAATATAGGTACAGAAAGACGAGAAAAAAATACCTAATCATACGATAGGTATATAAGCATGTAGGACGCGTGGATCGCACGGAAACCCCGAAGCCGGATAAAAAACGAAACTATCTGGTTTCCGTTATATGCAAGGGTCGGTTAGGTAATGCGGGCGTGCGATCGTGCAAAGCACTAAGAGCTTAATTTTTTATAAAAAAAAAAATTAAATACTCTTACAACTAGATAATTACATAATATGAAATTACGATGCTAATCGTTTTCTGCGAACGGGACATTTGAACTTGGCATTTTTTTTACACGAATCTTTTATTCGCAGTCACACACACACGCTATGGTTTTCGTAAAATTCTATGTTTTTCTTGAAAATCGTGTAAAATATCGGTGATACCCGATTGAGCACGGCCCCTTATTACGAACAACCCAATCGAGCACAGTCGAACTAATGCAACTTTGCCAATTTATCTGTCCGTCTACAACCAAGCACCGCGATGCATGACACACTCCGGACGAAAATTCAGAATTTTTGTTGTCGAAATTCCCGCCGCAGCTTATTTCAAATATCTGTCGATTTTCAACAGTTTTTTCAAAAAAAAAAATTGAAAAAATTGTGTCTTATAACACTATAATACTATTTGCATATAATATTACAAGTCGGACACTATTGAGAAGTGAATATAGTGACAGAAATATTAGTACATGATAATTTACGAGAGAAAAAAAAAGTTATATAATTATAGTGTCCGGTCCGTTTATAGAAAATACATCACGTACACAAACAATTCCATAAAATCTTTAAGAAATATAATATATGATACGAATAATTTAATCATTGCGTAAACACATTCAGAAAAACAATAATTGTTATTATAAAACATTTTTTTTTTTTTGAAAATAAGTTATTACGTGCGTTTTCGTGACCATTAGTTTCGTATACGGCACGTCAAAAATTACTCATTAGAGCTACCAAAGAAAAGTGTGAGTAAACTATGAACTTGATCGAGTCACAGTTAGGGACGAATCCTGAGACGGTCATATAACTTTTGCCACGGATTCCGATACGACAGCCTCGTGCGAGTTGAATTATAGTTCCGGTGCGTTGACCGACGTTTCCGTCGGGTTTTCAAATGTATACGTACCAGTCAAAAATTTCGAACATTGGCCGTCGTCGGTGCGGATAGCCATCGATGTTGGCAATCAAATCGCTGACCGCTGAAAACGTGCCAATGATATGTTTTTTAGATTCTATCGTATGAGTAAAGAGTATATTATTATTATGCGTGTATACGTAACAGGGAGGAAACAGGGACGACGGTTGAATTCGAAACGAAATAAAAAACCCACTTTCCAAAATAGGTATCGATGATAGGCGCGTCAAAGTGTAATCCGAACGATATCGGTTATTTTTCCCGGTAAAACTTATGCAAATATCAACAATATTCCGAATACGTTTTTATCGGTTTTTGTTTTGTTTTGTTTTTTTCGGATTCGTACACGTTTACAACTGAAAACGGAAAACGAAAAAAAAGCGCCCCCGAAATCCTCGACGGAGCGCACCCGCGTGTCATAAATACGGCGCGCCGTTATGAATTATTATCGCTGCACCGCGGGACGGGTGCACGCGACGGGTCGGGTCGGGGTACCCGCGAATAGATGAGGACGGCGAAAAAAAAAGAAAAAACCCCCCGCGCGAATTGCGAATTGTTTCGTTCGACACGAGCGTCGCCGGCCGGCGACCCGAAATGACAATTGCGACCATTTGGAACGTCGGCCCGCGGCGAACACATTTCAACGCGGTACGCGGGCGCGGGACGGTGACGCGAGCCCCGCGACGCGCGCGCCCAGTGCCGCGTACGGCGTTCGGCTTTTGGCCGGGCGACGCGTCGGCCCGGCGAGGAAAACCGTAACGCTCCCGGCGACGCGGCCGCACGTCGCGCGCGGGTCGCGTTTCAAACGGCGGATCTTGCGGATCTTACCGTTCGGCGCCGATCAATCACTCGACGAGAACGGAGAGATTAAGTCGCGAATGTCGACCGGTCTGTGCGCGCGCGCGTAAATACCCGCGTGGTCGCGCTGCACAGCGGCAACGCGATCGCAACGGTACCGCGCGCCAGGCGCATTATAATTTACGTCGTTTCCGCGATCGCGCGGCATTAGAAAGTTTCGTCGTAAATAACGCGCTCGCTCCGGCAATTGTATTGTCGATACGACAGCACATCTGACGGAGTGCAATATTATAGTTTTGGACGTCGGGCGCGATTTTTCGCGTATTTAAATAAGCGTATAGGCGTATCGCGGTGTAATGCGTTGTCGTACGAATACAAATATTTACAAAAAAAAAAAAAAAATAATAAAAACGATTATTTTTATAAAACGTACAAGACCGAGAACTCGTTATTACGACGGCGTGGTCATCAGAACCACGGTAACGGTAACCCAACAGCGCAGGGAACGATATTACACGGTCGGGATAATTACTTTTGCCGCGGAATTTTTATTTTGTTTTTTTTTTGTTTTTTTTTCTAGTACCTATATGCTTGCTATTCGCTATCATTAATATCGTTATTGCGATGCACGCGACCGCGCAATTCCGTAACGTACTTATTCTTCTACTTCTTCTTCTTCTTCTTCTCCGTCAGACGTTCAAATACCAAAGTACGGCCTACGTATAGCGAGCC